TTTTTCTTATTGATACTTTTGACAACAATATCATCAAAGTCTAATATTTTATGATATGATGAGATAATAATCGGAATGATGAAATATGAGGATCTGTTAGAAATGAGAATCAATGAGTAAGCTTAAGATTATATTCATTGGCCTATCATGAATGAGCTCAAAGTTATATCCTTTTTTTGATTATAATACTCACAACAATGGACAATACTGATTGGCACCCCTACAGTGTTTACTCATGTTATCATTCATTGAGTAACATCCGGATAATATCAGGATAATAATTCATCACATTTTTATCTTTGACTATTGTGCAAGGATAGACAAATTGTTCAGCTAAACATAAACATATACCTTTGTGATACTATTGACATTACCAGAGAGATGATCATAATCATGATTGTAATCTTTATTGATAAGAATCAAGTAAGGAAAAGACTTAGCCAGATAAAAAAGCTCATACGAATTCTAAGATCATAGAGAATTTCTGCTTTCTTTTAAACAAATGCTCTCATTTAATCTGACGATTAAATTGTAAACCTTTTTTCTCTAACTGAAAAAAAATATTTTCTCCATTCAGTCCTCGCTTAGAGTCTTGTCATTCTACATGAACAAAGTGACCTTCTCTCTCACACACTCACTCTCCCAAGAGTTTTTCACTGTCTCACTCACGTGTTGAAATCTTATAAATTTCTATCAATAGCTATCTCTTTTTTCCTGAACATTAAACTCATTCTTATCCTGTTAATGCTCTCAGTGTTTACCAAGATTTTACTTTACCTTTTCCATTATAAATTCTTGAATCGAATCTCAACTTGTCATGAGGAAAGTGATCACTTGATCTTTGTGTTGGTCATGACTATCATCACATGGAATAACTTTATTGTGACAGAAGAAGCAAAAATCAAGAAAAAAGGAAGAAGGAATTGCTTAGAATTTGAAAAAAATTGAAGTTAATTTGAAGATACAGAATCTGATCTGAAGTCTTAATTTCAATTGGTTCAGGACTTTTAGTCTCGAAATTTACAACAATACTCTCAACAGGATACAATCGATTTATAATAACAATTTTCTTATTTTCTTTGTGAATGAATAACCTAAAGAAAACAATTCGCTCGATTTAACCAATTAACCAGAAATTTATTCAATGAAATATCACCAGAGTTATCAGTAAATTGAATTAGAAACATTCTCTTCTTCTTTTATCCCATGTTCTAACCATTTTAACTACTATTCATTTCAATTATCGTTTATCATTCATTTTCTCCTCTGTATCGCATTTCAATTATCATGATTTTCTCATTCATTGGGATATAAAGTAAGAGAGAACGAGAGAAATACCAAGTTGTGAGAGATCATCACAAATATTATAAAAAAATTCTCTTCGCTAAATTACAATGAAAGAAAAGAAATAAAAAAGTTCAGCAACTTTTCAGTTGCATGTTCTCAGAATACAAAAGGAAATTCATTGTAACTATTATAATCATCAATTCATTCAGAGTATGATAGTGAAAACCTAATTGAAATGCGATTAAATCATCTACAGAATTATTTTATTTCTTTCTCTCTCTTTTAACATTCTGATGAAAAAATCCTTAACTTTTTAACAATAAAATTTCACTTTATTTGAATTCATCAAGAACATGATTATCGTTATCAAATATTGTTATCATATTCTGAATGTTTATGGTTTGATTGATCAGAACAATGAGATTGAATGAGTAAAGAGTGAGTCAAGGAGGTAAAATCAATGTGATTAACTGATTATTCCTATTGTATTATTCAAATAAGATTAGAAAAGGGGGAAAAGTTTAGGAGGAAATAATGAGGGAAAATGATGGCAGATAAATATTATTTTTCTTTCTCAAAATTCTGATTCATAATATTCTGTTTTCTTGTGATTCACCAAAATGAACCATTATCATTATCATATCTGCACCTCCTTAACCCAATTCTCTTGAATAATAATATTGCCACTCACTTTTTCCTAATGTTTACCATGTTTATGAAAATTTATTCTAATAGTTTTATTCAAGTTCACTTTCGACAGGTTAATATTCAGTCAAGGTTAACAACTTTTCATCTCTCATCTATTTCAAGATATTATTATCAATACTATCCTGGTGATTATATTTTTCTTATGAAAGTAAGTAAAAAACGGAAATAGGAAATACATAAGTGAAAATGAAGATAACTGAGCAAACCTAAATACTCTTATTCAGATGATTCCGATTTTCAGGGAGAGAGAGAGATGAATCTCTTGAGTTTCAAGGGAAAGAATCATGAATTTAATGCATCATCAGACTTGTAACATTATTTCATCATTGGTTTCATGATATTCAGATGCTGAAAATTGTTTAAACATTTTTTCCTTCACTGTCTCTCCTCCATAATATTGAAGAAGGAAAAAACTTTTTTTTCAAGAACTTTTTTTTACTAGGGATTTTATCTCCAACCATCCACTCCAACAACAACTCTATGTGTCTCTGTAAAGCCTTTCATCACCCATTCAAATGACATTTGGGATGCATCTTAAGCCAAATGATCTTCAACCATTTAGATAGCTTAATATTTTTCACTCTTTCCAATTCTGATTCTGTTTTTTCATCTCTTGTAACTTCAATCCCGAAAAGATACAATCGATTAATAAAGTATCATGAGCTTGAATCAATCAGAATCATTGTGATACAATGAATAGAATCTAATAGAAATTTTTTTCCTCAAAAGCATAAAATCAAATTCTCACAAATGAATTTAGCTAATATTTTTTTCTTTCAGAACTTTCAGAGTTTTAAATACCTGGTTTTTGTAGAAACTTTGAATGAATTTCTTGTTCAAAATTCTGAATTCTCATGATAGTTAATCTTCATCAATTATCATATTATTTAACATTATATATCAATTATGGATGAAAAAGTTTTTCCATCCAGATTATCATTGTTAACGCTGATAAAATGATATTTTAACGGGAATAGTTTTGGTTTTAGTGAATGAAAACTTCATCAAATTTATATTATTATTATGATATAATCTTAAGAAAAATCAACTCATTCAGTTTCCAGGTTACACCTCGTTGGTGAATAAAAATGTTATAAACTATTTTTCATGAGAAATAATTTTTTTTCTTGCTCCCTTAGAATAACATTCACTTTAACCAGAATTTAAACAGAAACTCAACTGTAAAGTTCAGTTCTGTGTACTTATTATGCTCGAGTTAAAATGATGATGAATGAAATGATACTTGGAGATGGAAAAAAGAGTTAACATGAAATTTATTGTTAGAATTTAAATTATCTCGATTTTTTGGACTGTTCTTTGCAAGTTCGAAGAATTAAATGCTTCAAGTGTTCGAAGTGAGTTTTTGCTATTTTTCTTCCTCCTCTTTTCTACCCATGGAAAGTAATCAATCTCAGGTGAGAATTGACATTTTCTTCAGGAATTATATTATCCAGATAAGAATTGAGTGAAAAGTTTATGCTGAAATTATTGTTTCTAAAATTTCATGACCATTTCAATACATTCAAATGTTGGTTAAAGAAAAAAGTTAAGAGTTATAAATTCAATTTAACATAAAACCAGGGTATTCATTTGAGAAGATAACTGGAAAGGAAACCTCTTGATCAGAATAATATTGAGAGTAGGAGGAGAGAGAGAGAGTAACATGGTATTCTGAATATCCTTGCATATAAACTTGATAAATCGGTTCACAATTTTATTTCATTCTGAACACACAGATAATATTATTATTCTGTTCGCATTTTGGTTCTCAGTCTATTGAGGTTTTTGTTGGTAGCAAGAATCCTAAACAAGAAGATAGATAGAGGGTATTCAACAAGGATGTATTCTAAGTCACATTTATCTAACGAAAGAATATTTCATTTGGAGATAGAGGGAGGAGATGAAGGAAGATAGAGGGTGTGAGAGAGAGAGGAAAGATAAAGAAATTCTGGGAAGAAGGTAAGTTCTGCAATTGATGTTATTTTAAATAAGCGGAAATGAGAATAATCCAAATAGGTATTCAGATTATTCTGAGCATTTAAGCGCTTTTACTTTAAGATTCTTCCATGTTGAAAATACCCTTGAAATACTGTCGACTATTTTCACTTTTTGATACATTCATGGGAATTTATTGTTCAATGAATTTTCAAAATGTCCAAATCTAAGAATTGAAATAGCCCATCTTAAGAAACTTTTATTTCATATCTTGATCATACTTAGAATTTCATGTGAAGTAAACTTCATTTCTACTAGTTAATTGTTTGAATCTTTGCTCTCTGATTGCAATTGTTGAAAATTGGGTGAGATTTCAAGCTCACTCATCCATTTATTTGATTGTTTAATTTTCCAAATTGCCAACAATTAACTACAATTAAAAGTGAATCAACTCAATCAAGCGTTTCAAGTTGTACTGAAATAGCTCATAGGCTTTGTAATTTCATCATCTACTCTCATGATTAGCTGAGAATTGATAGTTTTCTTTTTATCTTCCTATTCTTTGTGATCTTCATGATATTTTCATTTCGAAGATTGATGAAATTCCTGAGTTTCTTTCTCGCAATTTTCTTATTAGCAAAGTAATTACAATTTTTGTTGATTTTGCTCATGCAAATTCCTTGCCATGAATTTCGTTCAATCAATTTACCACAAGATTCTTGAATCATGAAAGTGTTAATAAAAAAGTTCACTGATTCGTTTGAGTTGTCTCATCTATGTAATTCGAATCTTCAATTGAAACTGAATAACATATATCTCAATCGTTTTACTGAATCATTTTGTCCTAAAGGTGTCATAAGTATTGCATGTTAGCTCATGTGTGCTTTGAGCCTAGAAAAATCTCCAAGGAGACAGTATTGAACTTGATAAACTGCGACAAGTTGACTTGTGACAAAAGTATTGGGCATTGTACTTTTGTCTTACTCCAATTCATGATCAAGACGAACTGATTGTTTGTGGTATCATTAAAGTCACTTTCATAATACTTATTGGATAGAAATATAACTTACCATGAATAAGAGCGCTCATGAATTGCCAAAACACCAGAATATATTTATTATCTAGAATTAGGTGAGATAAAGGAAAAATTAATGCAAATTCTGTGAAAATAGTTTCCATTCAGTTGCATCAAGTTAATCATTGTGACTTTTAAATTAACTTTCTATTTTCTTTCCGCAAAGTAATTAAGTCAATCTTTTCCTTAACTGTTGCTAATTAACGTAAATTAGATGATTATCAATCTTATCAATCAGTCTGTTGTTTACATGAATGTCAATGTAAATCGGAAATGGGTGAAAAGTATCGGAAACGTTGAAACTCTCTCTCTCTCTCTCTCTCTCTCTCTCTTTCTCTTTCTATGTTGTCATGAAATTAACTGAGGTGTAGCTTAATCAATCCGGAAATTAAGAGCATGTTCAATGTTGAGTTGAAAATGGTGATTAGATAAATTCAGCAGATAAAATCTCTACATTTATAAATATCACCACCAATGAGTCAGTGAGAAAGAGTTATGAAAAAAATTCATCATGATGAATTCTGATGATATTCAGAGGACGAGAAAGAAAGAAAAAAAGAAAGAGAGAGAGAGAGATCATTCCCATCATGTTAATCATTAGTATCATCACTAGGCAGTATATCAGAAGACAAAAACATTTAATTAGAATGAGCAAAGAATGCTGATGAAATATTCCGCCAGAATCTAAAAGTTATCATGATAATCAATCATGTAACTATGGTTATATCTGATTACTACAATCAGCATATCATGATCATGATTAAAAATATCTTCCCTCATCCCTCCTTTCGTAGTAACTCACACTAGAAATAATAATAAGTGTAGTAATTCACACTGAGTAAAAAGGATTATATTGTTACGAGAGCATATTTTTTTATCTTATTCCAAACTAATATTCATCCATAAATTATGAGTCTGATAAAATTTGATTCATTAATCATGATAAATTTCACAATTTCCAAAATGGCTTAATGACCCGTCGCTTAAACTGTTGATGGTCATTACTTGTTATCTGTTAACAATTTAACTGTCAACCCTGTCATTGTATTCAGTTCATTCACTGAATCTAATTATCTCATTAATGAATTTAATCTGAATTAAATTCAATTAAAAATGAAAGGAAAAAAAATTATCACTCAGATTGAAAAGATACTAATGTCAACAATGATAAAAGATAATTAAAATCCTGTTGCTGTTTAAATGCTAATGAATAATTAAGATACTAATTAAGGTAATCCAATTGATGAGGATTAACCAGTTTCATCAAGAAATTCAAGTGTAAACTTTTCAAATGTTTCGGAGTTTCATGAGACAAATTAGTTATCACTAATGATTATTTATTATCTTCCTGATGATAGTTAATTTTGTCTCATTATTAAGGAATTGATCATAATGAGATTGATTGGATACTCAGTGAGGGTTGAGAAAAAAAGTTCTAAACTTGATCTAGTGTTGATGTAGAGTGAATGAAAAAACGATATTCAATCAGAAATTGTGATAAGCTGACAAGTAGATTGAATTGTATGCAAAGAGATGCGAGAAAAAAAAAATCCATAGATTTAGTGATATCTTAATAAAGATGAAGAAATCGATAAGGGAGTTTACTTGATCGATTATATCGACAAATAAACAAAAAAAGTTCTAACATTAATGAGAGGCAAAAAAATTGTTCTTCCTTAGATAAGCTAATGTGGAAAAGGGTTATTGGGTTTTCGACATTTATTTCTGGTAAAATCTGAGGAAACAAAGTACTAGAATGTTTATAATCTATCGATCAAAGTACAGTACTTATCAGTATCTAGTATTCAGAATTTTCCATCTCGATTTTACTTTTCTTCATTTTCTTACCTTCCATTCTTGATCTAGAGAATGATCGATCTTCATTGACCACCAGTTTATATGGGTTGTGATCTTTGCTCTTTCAGAAACTTTCTGATTCTCATGTTTAGATTACTATGAAAACTTATTCATGGTTCGTTTGCCCTCAATTTATTCCCATTGTATCGATAACCTCGAATCACTAGTCTTCGCTTTTAATATGAATAATGATAATAATAAATTTTCAAAGAATAATATCATAACTTGAATTTTCAATCGAAAGCGAAAACTTCTTTGTCTTCAATGAATTGTTAATAACAAGTTATCCAAGTTTAAATGGTTCCCTTGGTGAACCAAATAATCTCAAAGAGTTAGGTAGCATAGCCAAGTTACGAGAAAACATTGGATGAAAATAATAATAGATGAAGAGTTAAGTGAATACAAATTGAAAAACATTCTCGAACTCAAAGTCGATTGGTAGATGTTCATTCAAAAATTGTTCCAATGTATCATAATAAGCTTGGGAAAGTGTTGAGGAAATGATGAATCAAGATATTGGTAAGTATTGGTAATAAATATATTATTCCTTTCTGTCAAGAGATATTAGTTTATCGTTTATCGACTGAGTCTCTGGTGAAACATTGGGTCAAGAAAAATAGTATGAATGGAAATGAGTTGAAGTTTATCGTCATTGATACAGATAAAATTCTGCATTAGTTGGTTATCGTTATGAGCTAATAAACGAGATGAGAACAAAATTATATCACAAGATAATAATTCGGCCTACATATTATTAATATGGATATAAATATACGTCTGAGTTGTGTAAACACAGGGGAAAAAATCATAATCTGACAAGAACTTGACAGAATAACAATCACAACAAGAATCTATTCATCAGATGAATACTTCAAAATGATCACTAAAAATGAATAGAATGGTGATAATATGGAATAGATTTGCTACTACAAAAAGGATTGTTATCTTTTGCTACTCATATCTCACGAATGCTCTTATCAGAACTTTTTGAATGTAGTGATTTCATTGGCTGGAGTTTATTGTTATCGATATTTTTTAGTTACTCATATTCTTTGGCGAAGTTTCGGATTTAAGGTTTTCTGTCGCACTTTATTGTTTATCTCTTGAGTCCATGAGAGGAATTTCATGATGGGAATTTGGACAAATATCGAAAACAAATATCTTTTATTATTTTACAGAATTCAACACATTTCCTTGAATAATTTCTTCAATTTCCAGTATATTTTGGAAACTCACTCATCTACAAATCACTCATCAGTCTGAAATCGAACATCACCAAGAAGTAGTTATTCACCATGACTTAGATCATTTAGTTCTCGGGTCAACTACTAATCATGTTGATAAATTCATCGGTTCTGTTTAAATCATAGAAATTTCAAAAGTTTCAGGATCATGGTGTTCGTCTTGACCCAATATAATAAAGTTGAACTTTCGATATCAATTTCTGAACTTGGGTTATCATTGATAGTGAATCTATCTGAATAATAATTGCTTATTATTGCAGAGGTTGAAAATCAACATAGTGATTAAAAGTGTGAAAATTGTAATTATACTTATTACATGATGTTAAGTGTTTGACTTATCACTATTCTGTAAGGGTGTAAATTAAGTGTGAATTATGATTCCTAGTTAACTTATGTGATATTTTTTTCATCAACTTAGATAATTGGATTTTCTGTCATTCTAATCAGTATAATTTGTCGTGGTAAATTGAGGAGAAGAGAAAATGAATTGATGACGAGAGAGAGAGAGAAAGAGAGAGGGAGATGTTGATCATTTGAAAAAACTTAAGGAGTAGATAAAATTCAATGCAAAGAATAGTTGTAAGTGGTAAATTGGATGAAAGGAAAAAATCGCTAGGAAAAATTTGTTCAGATAATGATGAGCAAGAGTGGGGATGAAAACATGAAAACGTTTAACCATCTCCTCGATTTTTGATAAGTCATCCAATTATTATTAGAGAGTTAGTCATTCCGAGAATTCATCGATTAAATTTCATTAGAAAAGGTCGATAAACCTTTCTATTTTACTTACTTTTACAGTGCAAAAGTAATCAGCACTTCATTACTCACGAGTTGGAGTTCTTGGAAAGAGATTTCTACACGAATTCGAAAACTTTGCTCAGGCGACCTGTCTAAACATTAGGTTTCAAGAGAACAACTCTGTTGGTTGGAACGCCTTTTTCAGTTCAATGATTGAACAGGACCAAATGTTCACTGGATTAACCCTAGGTGAAGTGGTATATACGGGAGAACTCATCCAATTTAATGTTTATACCAGCCAAATTCAAGAGTTGAGGAAACATTTGTATGAACAAACTTGGTGGCGTAAAGAACTCGTTAAACTTGAAGTCCCTGAAGCAAGAGAACCAACATACAGTGTCTATCTCTCAGTGCCTGATTTAATTCCGCCTCATCAAGTTATCGACGGGCTAATTAATAATGAAGAAAAGATCTCAATAACTAGGTCATCTATCAGATCATTCAGAAGGACAGCTGACAATCTTTGCAGGGTTGTCTTTATAGCCAATAGAAAGGAAATCAAATATAGAGGATGGACGATAACCGTTAATGGGAAAATATATAGGATTTTTGACTACATAAATTTGGAACAGTGCCCGTTTTGTTGTCTCTATAGACTTGCTGAGGAAGAGTGTAACTGCGATAGGGGACAACAGAAATGCACCAATTGTACTCAACCCGTTGGCAATTATGAGAAAGATACGGGACGCTGTAATCTCGAAAGTGGAGACTGTGTCAATTGTTTAGAGGCAATTAGACAATATGGTCCACCAGCTAATCAATTCGCTCACCCGACTAATCACCCGCTGTGCCCTACATTCAGAAGAGCTGTTTTCAAAAATCTACTCATCATTGAGCATAGATACAAAAGTCTAATGCTAGCGACATTTGCACCTCTAGAGCAATAAACAACTGGAACCAATGATCATTAAGCCACGGGGTTCCGACTATAACAAAAACGAATCAGTTTCGCCTCAGTGATAATCACAATATTCCTACAATTTCAACATAACATCTTCTCAACTTACACCTATTAACCTTTCTCCTTTTTCACTTAATAGCAAATACTACCATACAATGACCTTAAACATTATCTCATTATCCAATTATCTTTCTATCTTCTCTTTCTTAATTATTTTTTCTCTATTACTTATATTCCTCTGTAGAC